GGGGTGGGGTGGCGGGAAGCGGGGGGCGGTGGGAGCTGCGCGCAGACCCTGAGCCAAACGACGAATGAATAAAATCTACACTGACACAGTCTGCTTTGCCAGTTCTGCTGGGTGTCCGACCGCCTGCACAGCAAGAGAGGTTTGTCATAGCTGCCAGCTGGGAGCAGCTCACACTGCAGGCATTTATTTGGTATGCAGTTAACAACAGAGGCTTTGAGTCAACACACTTGTGGATAATTAACATGGTTAAGAGAGTAGTTCTAGGAATGATCAAATCTCAAGTACTGGGGTCTGAAGTAAATGCCATTAGGGTGCAATATCCCTGGTCAACCTCCCCTAATACTCTAAGGTAAGAACGGGCTGCCTGCAGCTTGTTCAGTTATTACAAGCTATGTAATCTTTCGGCCTTCCAAAAGGTTTGTGACTATTCCCTATAACTTTCCCTAATATTTCCTGTCAGTCCTCTGAGTCCAAGCTAAGCCATCATATCCCCTGTGATCTGCACATATACATCCAGATGGCCTGAAGCAACTGAAGATCCACGAAAGAAGTGAAAATAACCACTTCCTGCGTTAACTGATGACATTCCACCATTGTGATTTGTTCCTTCTCCACCCTATCAGTTGACTTTGTGACAATACACCCTCCCTTCTCTTGCGATATTGTAGTTCGTGATATTCCCCCACCCTTGTGAATATACTTTGTACGATACACCCACCCCACCCTTGAGAAGGTTCTTTGTAATATTCTCCCTGCCCTTGAGAATGTACTTTGTGAGATCCACCCCCAGCCCGCAAGAAATTGCTCTTAACTCCACCACCCATCCTAAACCTATAAGAATTAACGATAATCCCACCACCCTTTGCTGACTCCTTTCTCAGACTCAGCCTGGCCGCACCCAGGTGAGACAAACAGCCTTGTTGCTCACACATAGCCTGTTTGGTGGCCTCTTCACATGGACGTGCGTGACATTTCCCTTTAATACTTCTGCCACCATCCTGAGTGAATCCCAACATCTCCCCCTTTTTTGTTTTTAAAATTAAGTTTTTTTATTGGACAGCACAGATATGTGCAGCCACAGGTTTGTTAGGCAAGGTAGTGACTGCTCTTATTCCGGCTTTGCATCCTAGAATTAGCAAATACCATAAACCAGCAGTTTGTTAGGCCGAGGCGGTCGGATCGCCTGAGGTTGAGAGTTTGAGACCAGCCTGACCAACATGGAGAAACCCTGTCTTTACTGAAAATACAAAATTAGCTGGGCATGGTCTGAAATATATACAGTTCTGGAAGATATGAATAAAAGCTTAATCCAAGCTGGTCTTTAATAGGTTTGCTTCCAGAATGGCTTTGATCATATCGGTATGTACTACCAGTAAACTTTTTGATTTTTGTCATGGGTGCTTCATGGCTATTTCTTTCATTTTCTTGCCACTGAAACTCAAACTCATAAATATCTTTCTCAATTTTATGGAAACAAAAATCTCCAGTGCGATGACTTTCATGTCTTTGCAATGTCCCTGTGTGGAACACTTCTGTATGTTGACAAGACCTCCTCATCATGCATTTGGAAGAGATATCTACAAAATGTAAACACCAATAGGTTTCAAATTAAGTACAGATGACAAATATACTGAAATATGTAAATATGACACAAAAAATACTTATTTTATTTTATTTTATTTATTTTTTTTTGAGGCAGAGTCTCGCTCTGTGGCCCCGGCTGGAGTGCAGTGGCCGGATCTCAGCTCACTGCAAGCTCCGCCTCCCGGGTTCACGCCATTCTCCTTCCTCAGCCTCCCGAGTAGCTGGGACTACAGGCGCCCGCCACCTCGCCCGGCTAGATTTTTGTATTTTTTAGTAGAGACGGGGTTTCACCGTGTTAGCCAGGATGGTCTTGATCTCCTGACCTCGTGATCCGCCCGTCTCAGCCTCCCAAAGTGCTGGGATTACAGGCTTGAGCCACGGCGCCCGGCCAAAAAAAAAAAAATACTTATTTTAAACTTCCCAAACGTGATCTTCAAAGTTTAGGAACACAAAAGGAGTAAGATTCTATAATAAATAAAGGGCGATTACATGTCCTTCAAATCATTTCTATGGAAGCCTATTTTCAATATCATGAAAAAACACTGACAGGGCACAAACATGTAAGCCTAAAGTCAGGAGTGTTTTCCACTGTGACCCTAAAGCGCATCACAGTTTGCAAAAAAAATAAAAAATAACTGTCACATCAATGAAGCAAACAATATATACTCTTCATATTTACAGCATATTTACTCTATACAAATAAATGCTAAAGTACCACAAAATATACTATTTTGGCAAATAATCAACAACAACCTCATGTAAGGATAATCAAAATCAATGGAAATTCTGTATTGTCAAACAATCATAGCACTGACAAGATAAGAAAAGATTACAAAAATTAGCCAGGCATGGAAGCCCGCGACAGAGGTCCCAGCTACTCAGAAGGTGGAGGCACAAGAATCACTTCCACCTGGGAGGCAGAGGCTGCAGTTAGCTGAGGTCACACCACTGCACTTCAGTCCGGACGGCAAAAATGAGGCTCCGTCTCAAAAAAATAAATAAATAAATAAAAAATAATAACCAAAGAAAACAAGAAAAAAGAAAAAAAAAACGAGAAAAAGAAAATGTTCATACCATATTTTTCTGAATAAATGTCATAAAATTATCTATATCTACGCAGAGAACTCCTGACCTCTAGTGATCCACCCGCTTCCACCTCCCAAAGTCTGAGGATTACGGACAAGAGCCACAGCGCAAGGTGACACTTTGTGACATTAACGAGTGGAGTGTGTCAGTTATATTGCATACCACATACCGAAAAACCATATGTAAAATCATAAAAATCAATTAATGAAATTTTGTAACTCATGATAAAACCTGCAAACAAATAATAAGTACATTTATACAGCCTGCAGAATTCTAAACAATTCCCTCTTAAGAAAAAAGTCACAACTTCTACTTACCAGGAGCACACGACATAAGAACTGAAATACATGTCAAGACCACTACCTTCTGACGTATGAGGTCAAGAAAATACACAGCATTACAAAGTATAAGAATTGACTAACGGCCAGGCATGGTGGCTCACACCTGTAATCCCAGCACTTTGGGAGGCTGAGGCTGGCAGATCACGAGGTCAGGAGTTCGGGACCAGCCTGGCCAACATGGTGAAGCCCCATCTCTACTAAAAATACAAAAAAATTAGCTGGACATTGTGGCAGGCACCTGTAATTTCAGTTACTCAGGAGGGTAAGGCAGAAAAAACGTTTGAACCCAGGAGGTGGAGGATGCAGTGAGCCAAGATTACATCATTGCACTCCAGCCTGGGTAACAGGGTGACCCACCAAACCTGGCCAATTTTTTGTATTTAGTCAATTTGAAGTTTTATCATGTTGGCCTGACTGGTGTCAAACTCCTGACCTCAACAGATCTACCCATCATGGTATCTCAGATTGCTGGGATTTGAGGCCTGAGCAACCATGGCCAGCCAGCCTAAGCTATTTCTGACAGGACAGTGAAATGACTGAAACAGGAAAAGGAGAATGTCATCATCATCACCGAAGGTTGACAACTCGTACTACACAAAGGAAGTTTAGAGTCTGTACTATAAAAACTGCAAAATGTGAAGCCATCTAATAGCATTAATGTGTTTTAAAACCTTGAAGGCAGCTGGGTATGGTGGCTCACTCCTGTAATCTCAGCACTTTGGGAGGCCGAGAGAGGTGGATCACCCGAGGTCAGAAGTTGGAGACCAGGCTAACCAACATGGAGAAACACCGTCTCTACTAAAAATGCAAAATTAGCCAGGCATGTAGGTGCATGCCTGTAATTCCAGCAACTTGGGAACCTCAGGCAAGAGAATTGCTTGAACCTGGGGAGCAGAGGTTGTGGTGAGCCGAGATTGCGCCATTGCACTCCAGACTGGGCAACAAGAGCGAAACTCCGTCTCAAAAAAAAAAAAAAATCTGGAGGCAAATTAACATTACTTCTCAAATAAGGACACCAGGCCCACAGTGTTCATGTATATGACCTTAATTTGAACGTATGGTAGGTGAGGGACAAGACTTGATCCTAGGCCTGAATGATTC